ATTCTCAAAAACATGGTCAGTAGTAAAGACAGCAATCTGTTCTTGCCACATCTTCTATCACTATGCCCAGTCCATTTCATCACACATTCCTAGCTCCACTTCCTGGCTATGGTTTGGGAAAGTCCCTTAACCTGCCTGAGACCCCACTTCCTAATCTGGCCTGATGAATACAAAAACTTTTATTTAGAGCATCTCATACAGTGCTTGGACAAAATAAGGAACTCAGAAGTTGTTGTTGTTGGTGGTGGTGGTGGTGGTAAGATGTACTGATGGGTACAAAGATGGGTAAGATATTTCCTCCTTTTAAAAATTGTTTTAAACATCAAAATTATTAAAAAAAAATCTATCATCCAAAGAGAGAATAAGATGAATGCACAATAATGAACAGTACAAAATGGGACTAGGAGAAGGTGTAAACCCGGATGATTGGGTCCAGTCCCAGAGTGGGAAGGGAGGCAGCAGGTAAAGCTCCCTGGCAGATGGAGGGTTCATGGGGGCAGGTGTATGGTGTGGGGGCCAAGTGTTCAGGCAGAAGGAGGCAGAGGCAGAGTCCACAAGGCAGGGAAACAAGACCTATTTAGAGACACCAAGTCGTAAAGTTCAAGTGTGTGCAGAGTCAAGATGAGATCAGAAGGGTGGTTTGGGGCCAGATTGTGGAAGGCCCAGATGCCAGGCTGAGGAGTTCGAACTTAATTCAGTGGTCAACAGGGAGCCATTGGGAACTTCCTTTACAGCTGTGCCAGACTAAATTAAGCATAAACAGTACTTTATAGCTGGAAAGGGAAGGCCCAGAAATAGCTCTTGACTGAGAAACAGGCATAAGGAAAGGTAATGAAAAAGAGAGCCCTGATCAAAGCAGAGAGGTTAATTAAATTTCTAATTATTGTGAAAGGCCATTAAAAACCTAGTTCACTAGAGACAACTGTTGTGGAGGGGCTTGAAAGCAGAACCCTCCTCTTAACCTTGGATAGGTACAACCAAGTGGACGCTTGTTTCTCACTCCCCCCACCCCCACACCCCCACACCCCCACGCCCCCCAAGCCCCCCACACCCTGTGGAGGAAAAATGTTTAAGGTACTTAATAAATTGTAGACAGATACACATACGTGGGTGTTCTCTGTAAACCCAGTTCACAGTCCCCAAACATCCATGTGTCTATGTAGGGAGCTGTACAACATCAGAGCAACAAACCTTCAAAAGCTACATATCGGGTCTTAGAGAGGTCTCTAATTTTGACCCCTACCCCTAGGGCAGGTGCTGAGATAGTTCCACTTGCTCCATGTTGCTAACATTTCCTGTGAATGGCTAAATGTATTCTTATTTCAAAAGTGTCCCATAATCACTTGAATAATCATCATTCCACTAATGGGCCATTTTGCCAGTGATCAGTGAGGACCAGCAGACAGTCTTCCATGAACACCACACGTGGAGCTGGCCTTGAGTCTCATCATCGCCTTGAGTTGTGGTCTGTGCGCACAGCATGATTGTGGGTGCGGAACAGGACACTACTGTCTTAGCATTGTACAATTCTTTGTGACTTATAAAACATTTTCATAGGTCTGGGGTTGTGGCTCAGTGGTAGAGCACTTGCCTCACACGCATGAGGCACTGAGTTTGATCCTCAGCACCACCTAAAAAAATAAAATAAAATAAAGATGTTGTGACCATCTATAACTAAAAAAATATTTTAAAAATCATTTTCATAGCTCCTGTCTCATGAGAGATACGATTTACATTCCTTTTAAGCAATTGAGAGAAAAACTGAGGCTCAGAAAGACTTGAAAATATTCTCCAATACATGTGCTAGTTAGTATCAGAAAAGACCAGAACGCAGGTCTTCTAACTTCTAGCTCAGCATTATTTCAGTTGAGCCAAAGTATATTATTGCACATAAAGATTATACTTCAAGGTATGGTCCCTGTCCTCTTGAATTAAAAACTTAAATCCTGGCTAGTAAAAAAGAATGAATAAAAAATAATAGAAAAAGGAATATATACCAGACTTTCTAAGGTTATGGTAACCAGGAGGGAAGAGTCAGGAAAGCTTCTTGGAAGAGAAAGCCTTTAAAGCCTTCTTTGTGGAAGAAGGAGATCTTTAAAACCAGATTTTAAAGGTCTTTTTACTGGTGCATTATAATCGTATGTAATAGAAGATTTCATTGTTACATGTTTGTGCATGCACGTAACATTTGGTCAATTTCTTTCCCCTGTACCTCTTATTTCCCTCCCTTCCTCTGGTTTTCTTCCTCTTCTCTAGAGATCCTCCTATTTTTTTTATATCTCCCCCATTTTTTCCCTTTTTTCTCTCTAGATTCCACTTTCTGGATAAAACACATGACCCTTGACTTTCTGAGTCTGGCTTATTTTGTTTAACATAACACTCTCAAGTTCTATCCATTTTCCTGTAAATGACATGATTTCTTCTGATGACTGAGTAAAACTCCATCATTTATGCACACCACATTTTCTTTATCCACTCATCTGCTGACAGACACCTAGACTGTTCCATAACATGGCTATTGTAAATTGCACTGTTATAAACACAGATATGCATGTATTGCTATAGTATGCTGACTTTAGATCTTTGGGGTAAATATTAAGGAGTGGTATAGCTAGGTCTTATGGTAACTCTATTTCTAGTCTTTTGAGGAAACTTCATACTTATTTCCATAGTGGTTGTACTAATTTACAGTCCCACCCTTAGTGTAAGAGTGTTCCTTTCCCCCCACATCCTCACCAACATTTGTTATTGTTTGCATTCTTGATGACTGCCATTCTAATTGGAGTGAGATAAAATCTCAGTGTAAAAAATCTTTAAAAAATAAATAAACAGGGCTGGGATTGTGGCTCAGTGACAGAGCCCTTGCCTCGCATGTATGAGGCACTTGGTTCAATCCTTAGCACCACGTAAAAATAAATAAATAAAATAAAGGTATTGTGTCCATCTACAACTAAAAAAATATTAAAAATAAATTTAAAAAATTAATTAAATTAAATTAAATCTCAGTGTAGTTTTGGTTTGCATTTCCCTGATTACTAAAGATGTTGAACATGTTTACATATATTTATTTGCCATTTGTGTCTCCTCTTTTAAGAAGGGTATGTTTAATTCATTCTTGTGGTTCTGCCATATATATATATATTTTAAAGATTATAATTCAAAGTAAAAAGTTCACACACACAAATACACACACACACACACACACACACACACACACACACACACACACACTCTCTTCTACATCTTCCACATCTGTTATTGTTTGGATTTGAGGTTTCTCCCAAAAGTTCATGTGTGAGACAATGCAAGAAAGCTCAGAGGAGAAATAATTGGGTTATGAAAATCTTAACCCACTCAGTGAATTAATCCCCTGGTGGCATGCCTTTGGGGTATATATTTTGTATCTAGCAAGTGAAGATTCTCTCTCTCTCTCTCTCTCTCTCTCTCTCTCTCTCTCTCTCTCTCTCCTTTCTGATCATCATGTGAGTTGCTTCTCTCTGCCACATTCTTCTGCCATGATGTTCTACCTCACCTCAAGCCCTGAGGAATGGAGCCAGTCTTCTATGGACTAAGTCCTCTGAAACTGTGATCCCTCAAATAAACTTTGCCTCTTCTACAATTGTGCTGGTCATATTTTTTTAGGCACAATAGTGAAAAAGCTGAATAAAACAATATCCCAGTCAAAGAAATGGACAAGGGAGGAGATTTCCCTTCCCTTTAAGAATGTGATCCTGAAGTTGCACAAACTTCCTTATGAGTAAGTTGCTTATGTGACTAAGACTTTCTATAAGAGAAATTGAAACATGTGGTCTTTGTTCTGGGCAGCCATGTTCCCAGTTAAAATTGTATTACTATGGAAGAGGAAAGGGTGTATATTGAAGAAAAACTGGTTAGAGGCTCACCTGGTCCTTGCGGAATGGGTAGGAGTGGGGCAATGGCACAGGGCAGCTATATGGTGGACAAGGTGGAGAAAGGAGGACATGGTGAGTAGGCTGGACTACATGATTGAGAGCTGAGAGGTTCTTGCTGGGCCCGTATCCACATTCTGAGGAATGAACCTGTCAGCAATGGAAGCTGAAGTAAGGGAGTAAAATCAGCTGTGTTCATTGGAGCCTGATATATGATGGGACTTTGAAAGGCAAGCTGAAGAGTTTAGATCTGAGCTACCACACTTAGGGAGATAGTGTTTAAGGAAACTGTGTTGATCAGCACTACACAGGATGAACTAGAGGGGTTAGAGATGGAGCTGGAAGACTCATTAGGAGACTCTTTTGACAGTCTGTCCATGGCTGATGAAAGCTGTGCCTGGGGTGAAGTCCTGATAGGAGACATCAGGACCTTCTGCGGGGGCAGCGTGGGTAGAGAGTCACCTGGAAGGCTCCCTCCCTTACTTGTGTTCTTTGGAGCTCCCCCTGGCACCCCCTCACCCTTCCTACCCATACTGAGAACACACGATACCAGAACTGTATTCAACAACAAATATTTGTTAAGCATAAGCATCTTGTGGGCCAAAGTCTGGCACCGAGAAGATTCTCAACAAACATTTGTTAAATGAATGGCTGAATAAATAAAGGAAAAAATAAGATGATTGGTTCTGAACCCATCAAATGTCATTAAAATCTTCTGGGGAAAGTTAGTTATCACATGTTCAGAAATTTACACTGAAAAGAAACTACCTGGAGAGTCTTTTCTGCAAACTGTCATAGCAACAGCTGTGATTTTTGACACTGTAGCGTGAAGTGGAACATTTTTAAAAAGTGCTCTGAGCCAAACCATTTTCTTCAGATTAAATGTGTATGTGTGTGTGTGTATGTGCACATATAAAATGCAGATACCAGGTAAGCCTGGTTGCATATATTCTCATCCCTTTTTTATCCTAAGTGCCCAGATTTTCTAAACTGGCTATATGTGGGTTGTTCTAGAGCAACCATTATTTCTGGCTCCCTCTTAAACACTCCAACTTCCATTCTACAAATGAATTGGAAGGAGGTTTCCTTGACAACCACTCACCTTTCTCTAGTAAGCCTCCCGAACAACCCCAAGTGTTTCATGGAGATAAAAGCCCATGGGACACCAGAGTCAGGACCTCTGATGGCACATAGACTATCCTAAGATGTACTGCTGTGAACAGCAGCAATGAAACACTTCCTTCCTGTCACCTTTCATTCCAGCTCCTGCAGTTGCTCACACCAGCAAGTGAGTACTAGGTTCAATTCTGTAACTGAGAGCACAGGAAGAGGCTCTTCTCAAATGGGCTCATAAACTGGTCCCCCCCCCCATAACCATGAGATTGTATGATTAGATGACAGTTTCATCAAATCCTTTTTGCTGCATACCCTGGGCAGTATCTTACTCAAAGTCTCATAAAGCTATTTTTTTTCACAAGTTTTCAGTTGTTCTGCTGTAGTTCAAGTTGTTCTGGATGTTTTGTTCTGAATGCTCTGTTCTAGACTCTAGAAGAAATTCAGTCATCCCATCATAGCCATATATAGAGCTCAGGTTCTGAACCCAAGATTTTAAAGACTAAAACACCAGAATAAAAATCTCAAACCAAACCCCCATGCTACATTTCGTATAGGTTCACAATATGAATCCAAGCAAAAATCTTTGTATTTACTAAAATAATTAAGCCAAAATAAATTTGTATCAAAATATATTATTTGAACCAAACCAATAAATTATTCTATTCTAATATTCCAAAGACCTAAAAGATAGATCTATGCTATAAATATTGCCAAAATTTCTTAGTGGTGTTTTCTCTTTTAAGCAGCATTGAATTGGGAGGTAAACGTCTTAAGATGCCTTTATCATTATTATGAAGACATTTATTCTTCAATTTGAATATCTCAAGTGCATTATTTATAAATCCTCATAAAGTCTTACCTTCATACTGCAGATGGAGAAATGGTTAGAGGGAATATGTAGCCTTCTCAAGGTCATACAGACAGGCATGGTTTCAAACCCAGGATTTTACCCTCATAACTACCCCTTCTTAAGTGATAGAGAGGAGGGAGGGTAAGAAGGGAGGGGAGAGAAGGACAAAGGAAAGAAGGAAGACAGGAGAGAAGAAGGGAGGGGGGCAAAAATAGGAGTAGGGTAAAAATGAAGCCAGAAGCCAGTTTTGGAATTTAAATCACTTCTCTTAGTGAGACAATGATCCCATTAATTTGGAAGCAAGAAGGTTGAGCCTGACTCTTTATTGGCCCCGGTTTGGGGAATACAAAGAAGTAGATATCAAAGACTGGGACCTTATTGACAGAGGTTTGTTGAATTGGTTCATTTTTTTCCTCTCTAAGGTTTTAGCCTTTAGGATTCAAGTGGATTAAGATTCATCAGGATACTGCCCTGCTTTTTAAAATTTGGAACTGTAGTGCATTTATTCCTTACATGGAAGGGGATTATGGAAAAGGCACTAAAATGCTACAGTTCTGAGGGTAAGCTTATACATTTTAGATAGAAAATAACACTTAATATAAAGACCCAAACCACTTTCTAGAACCCAGCCCCATACCAGTATGTCATCCTGGACAAGGGGAAAGTTAGTTATCACAGGGTAGCAGATACTTCAATTGTAATATGTACATTAAAAGATTTCAATCTTCAGCTTAGTTCTGACTTATTTAGGATGAAAATATGAAGTATGTGCAGGCTAATAGGAAGGTGAGACAGGCAGGATGCCATCTGCTTCTATATTTAAAGCTCGTAAGACTTAGTTTTCCACAAATATTTTTGCAGATAGGCCTTACACTAGAAAGTTCTAGGAACATTTAGAGGCTGGTGGACCAAATAACCATTTCAATATTAAACAGAATACTACGTGAGCTTAGACCAATTCTTGTCCAGCCCTGCGAAGTTTAAAAATCAATCTGGCCTCATGGGATTCTCTGAAAAAAAAAAAAGTTAAACTTCTTATTCCTCATCTTACAAAACACCAAGAAAGGACATTCAGTTTTCTTAAAGTGAGTTTAAAGGAATGGATGATTTGCTTGAAAGTATGGAGAAATTTGCAACACAAGGAGAGTCTAAGGTTGACTTAGTGTTAAGTTTTAGAATACTGACCATAAAGACACATACACAGATAAAATCCAAGCTAACGTCGAACTTCAGGAAAAGAACAAAAAAAATATGCAGCAAAGTAACCTTGGGGAAGTGATTCCAGGACCCCCATAGATCCAGAGATGCTCAAGTTCTTTAAATAAAATTATATACCACGTTCATATAACTTATGCACATCTTCCCATTTACTTCAAATCATCTCTATATTCCTTATAATATCTAGTACAATGAAAATTCTATGTAAATAGTTTGCTATATTCTTTAGAGATTAAAGACATGAAAAAAATTCTGTACACATTAGGTACAGGTGTAATGTTTTTCCTGAATTTTTGATATGCAATAAGTTGAGTGGATACAGAACCCACAGACATGGAGAGCCACTGTAATCATAGTTTACTACATGGCTCAGTTCCATAAAGCAGTCACACATCCATAATATGCAAACAATGACTATTGTGTTGACCAAATTTTCCATATAACCATCCATATTGCAGAATGGGATGTCCAGGAAGTGTGTGTATGGTGTTTTGGGGGCTGCAGGGTGTGTATATGAATGTGTGTTGGGAATAAAAAAAATCAAAGGAACTACATCCTCATTTTACAGAGTAAGAAGTCCTAATCAATTAAATAGCAACACAAGCATACTATGTAAAGACATGGTGGTTAATGACTAAAGATTCACTAAAAGTTCTGAACACCCCACCTCTGCCATGTCCTGCATTAGACAACAAACAGGTCCGACCCAAATATCCTGTCACAGGGTTCAGTCTGAAGAGAAGACTCCAGGGTCACCTACATTTAGTGCTGGGGAAAGGGCAGGGTCATGGGTGAAGTTCCTACTTCCCTGTCTTGGGGAAGGTTCAGGCAAACTTCCTAGGGAAAGGGATCACTCTAGAGACCAAGCTCTGCAATTTTATTTGCTTTTCATTAAGCGACACACCAACCTTTAAGTCAGAAATTGTGACAAGATGCAAAACAAAGGTGATGTTTACTCCCAGAGAATGTCCCACCTAGTTATGGAGTTTACCAAGTCCCAGGATCAAATGCCCCCATAACAGGGAAAACCAGAGATGAGGGTCAAGTCCAAGGAAATCACAAACAGAATAGACATTCAAACAAGGAGGCTTAGGATTTCCTGATATCAGAAGCACCACACAAACCAACTTGCCAAATCAGCTCCGAGGTGGTGCAATTTGTTCTCCAGGGATTTGTCCATTTGCGGCTGCATCTCTGCTGTGTCATCATTTGGGAGGGGGTCAATCCATTCGATTCATCTCTTTTTGTAAAATACCCCAGATTAAGTTAAATATGAGACCCAGATCACACGTGCTATAAGCCCTGGCCAGTCCTTGCTGTTGCCAGACAAATCACAGGCCCCAGAGTTCAGGACAAAGGTCATCTGAGCTTTGGACACTTCTAGCTCCACAGAAATTTCTGGTGATTACCCATCAGTGCTTTCCTGATGTGGTTTGTGGTCCTTCAACCCCTCCAGGAATAATGCTAGGAGCAGAGAGATGAGAAGTTGTGAGGAATGAGAGACAGAGGCAATTGGAAACTGTAGACTCACAACTGAGAGGTGACCCCTGGCTATTTGGACAATAGCATACCAGTATTCTCCCAGTTGGTTATAAAAGGGTGGCTTGACTAAAATGTACTAAAAATTCCTTCTTCTGATTTAGTTCCAAACAAACTCTCATTCTGAATGACGAAAGCTTTTCTTTTTTATCTATATGCTTGCCTGCTTGATTCTCTGTTTTTAACCAGAGACCAAAACTGTTGGGAATATCTATTTGATTCAATCCAGAGGATATTTTGGTGTTCAAATTGAAGTTGTCAAAAATATAAAGAACCGATTCTGGTTCTAACTAGTTCAAAAAGTGGCTTGTTTTATTTTTAAAGCACACACATTCGGTTCTTAGTTTCTAAGTTTGGTTTTTTAAAATGTAATTTGGGAGTTGAGCACTTGTGTCAGTTTTTTTTTCCCAGGTTCTTGGCACCCTATCTGATTTGAGTCCTGGCTCCGGACTCCTGCTGGCTGGTACTGACAATGTTGCTTGCTTGGCTTGGTTTTGCAAGTTCTTGGCAATGAGAAGTAGGACAGGTGCTGTGTTCCTCAACCAGCCACAGTTAGCCAAGGAGAAGCCCAATCAGAATGCACAACATGCAGGAGCTGGAAGGACTGTCTGTGGCCAGGTAGCCCAGTGCCCATGTTTAGAGAGATGACCAGGGAAAGGAGATTGTCATCTTCTGAGCCAAGGTGGCATTGTTAAACAGTTGGGAGCAGAACCTCCAACCTCCTGATTCCCTTACACCTCACTGAGCTCTTTAGAAGGCCCTTCACATTGTCTCATTTTAGGTGAACAAAGGGGATTTGAGCAATAACACTTCAATGTCACGTTTTCCATCCAGGCTCTTAAAATGACATTCCAAAACAAAATGTTGAAAAGCTGCTTTCCAAACCCCTAAACCCCTTTCCTCATTCCCTGAGCTTGCAAGGCTCAGGGTGGGAGGCAGTGTTTTCCAGAACCCATGCAGTGATTCAGAGAAGTGGTGGGTGGGAGGAGAAGCCAGCAGGTATTTTAAAAGACCTGAGGCACTCACGCGGGAAGGGGCCTATAAATGCTCCCCCCACCTGTCCCTGTTGCCAAGGCAATGCAGGAGGGCCTGGAGCTGGCAAGAAAATGCCCATCTCCTCATTCACACACACTGCCCTGGCCACACATGTCCTCTTAGGATTTTCATGACAACTCTCCTTCCTATCCAAAGAGCATAGAGCTACTCCTTTTCTTACAGAAGGCAGCTCATTTTGTCCATGCTAGCTGGACCAAAGTGAAAGAGCCCATGGAAAAGCCCATGAATCATCTGTCTGAAGCCCTGACCTGCCCCTTAGAAATAAACCTGCTTCAAGTCCATGTCTCCCAGAAACTCAGAGATTGTCCACACTTGAATGTAGCTTGTCCTCTGATGCCAGTTATTCATTTATGGTCAGAGGTTCAGTCCTTCTTGGCTCATGTACCAAATACAGGCCTGAGGACGTCCTCATAATATCCTTTCCTCCAGCCTGTGACACTCTGGAAAGCTACTGTGAAAATCACAGGAGCTGAGCCTGTGTCTTTTGCTGCAAGAGCAGTGTGGCCACAGTCATAGAGAAAAGAGAAAGCCAGCTGTATTTCCACGGCAAGGACTTCACCTTTGCTCTCAGCAGGGCCAAGTTTGAGAAAGGGGTGAAAGCGCATTTTGACTCCATTTCTGTTCCTTTTCTCCCCCAAAGGATTCCATAATGTATTTTAAAATTCCCTCCCCCATACCGCTATACACAGAGACACCTTTTTATTCCTAACACAGCTGCTGTTATTAATGATGACAGCTTTGCCATATGGCACCACTCACTCGGCCCCGTCAAGCAGTATCAGGCTTGTGTGAATAGTACTTACCCCACACTCTGACAGTCAAGCTCCAGTGTACCAAGAGCTATCCTTCTACAGGCATGCCCCCTTCACCAGGACTTCATATGGATGAAGGATGAATCTAGGTATGTTGTCACTGAAAATCTGGGATTTGTCCCTTGAAGGTTAGCCAAAATAGGAAATTAAGGACTAAGGTAGGCCAGGAGAAAGATTCGTCCTAAATGTTCATCTAATGTTATTTTCAACCAGCCTGTCGATGCCTGTTAATTACTGACTGCATCAACTGATGGCAGCTGAGAGTCAAGGGTGTAATTGATCTAGATGTTACCACATATGTGCTATAGTGCAGGGAGGTGGGAGGTATCCCATAGAGATGCAGAGGGACCTCAAGGCTCTGAGACACAGCAAATCTGTAGATGAACCTAAAGATGAGTGCATCTGCTACTCAGTCCTCCCCATTCTGACAAGGTAATTTTATCCTAAAAGAGTGTTTTATTCTTAAGCTTATCCTATGAAGAAGTAGGTACAGGTCTGTATAACCTGAAATCAATAGGGTGACCCAATTTCTACCTAACTACCGAAGCTTTCTGCTACATAAGAAATGAAATGAAAGGCTGGGAGTGTAGCTAAGTGGTGCATAGCTAGCATGCACAAGGTCCTGGGTTCAGTCTCTGGCAGTTAAAAAAAAAACAAGGGCTGGGGCTGTAGCTCAGTGGCAGAGTGCTTGCCTAGCACATGTGAGGCACTGGGTTTGCTCCTTAGCACCACATAAAAATAAAAAATAAATAAATAAAATAAAGACCTGCTTTCCATCTACAAAGAAAAAATAAATAAATAAAAATATTTTAAAAAACGAAAACAAAAGAGGAAGAAAGAAAAGAAAGGGGGATGTGCTAGAGTCACAGATCTATCTAGGAAGCTATGAATAAATTTTCAAAGCTTGTTTGAGTATTTCAAATTTTTTAATATTTGAAGAATACAGTTTACACACTGCCCCAATAAAATGCCAACATCAAAGGGATAGTAGTTTATCATATATGTTGTTATATGTAAGTGAAATAAACCACTATAAAAACTAAATTCAATGCTTTACTTTTCTAGGCCACAGGAGGTTCCAGATTCTGGATGGGGTTTGTGTTCAAGCAGACCCACTTCTGTCTCTAGTCTGTGTATTCTGAGGCCATGACTGGAGCTGTCTCCACCATTAGAAAGAGGGGGCAGTTAAACAGATGATATGCAAAAAACCTAGCTCAATAAATGTTGGTTCTCGCCTCCTTACTTTCTTTTCCTCCAAGCCAGGGAAATATATTGGTATCCACAAAAAAAAAAAAGCGAGTAAAAAAACACAAAGAATAGCAAGAACCTATTAAGAGATTTTTCCCCTGACTGATGTGGGTGGAAGCCCACAAGGAAACTGACTTGCTACTGTCATAGAGAAATAAGACTAATAATGTACATTAAATGACACCCATGTGGACTGAGAGCAGCCCATTTACAAATTTCCCAACAAAGAATGAATTGTATTAGGTGCATAACTTTCCCTTTCATTCTCTTTTCAAAAGAAAAACAGAAAAGAAGTGTAACAATTCTAGATAGAGGCTATCAAAATTCGCCTTTACAATCTGTCTTCATGATTTCATGCACATTCCTCAATGACCAGTGAGTACTATTTTGCACAGATGTGAATGCCTGGTTTCAACTGTCCAAACAAGGCACTGCCGCTGGGGAGTTAAAACATGCAGGCTTTGGGCTCTTTGCAGAAGGCTGTTTCCAAAATTATAACATGCAAATCAGACAGAACCATCCACCAAACAGCCTCTGTGCCTGTGTGGTCTCTAAGCAGGTGACAAACGGGAGAGGTCTGGATCAGAGTCTCCACCCAGCACCCTCTAGATCACAATCTCAGGGAAATATGGGCAGACAATCAGACATGGGACTTTCAGTGTGCCCTTCAACACTGTCTATGACAACTTGGCTCCATGTATCAGGCAAACAAATTTCATTCATGAAAACTGTGATTCTTTAGTTCATTGAGAGACAGAATTGATCTTGCTGAGAGAATCGGTCCAAATCATTGTTCCCTGAGCATGGAGAAATTTGGAATTCTGTGCTGGGTTGTGTTGTCAGAAGCAGAAACCCAGTTAGCCTCAAGTGAGAGAGAATATGTGGAAATCCAGGGGAGGTGTGTTTCTTCCCCAAGCCCCATTCTCTTGTTTCTTTAATCACTGCAGCCAGCACCATATGAGGTTTTCATTACAACGATCCCTGAGTATCCAGAGGCATGGTTTGGACCACATAAGTCTGCTTTATAAACAATCAGATCTCACAAAAGTCAGGGCTGTTTGGTTTTGATACTCCCCCCCTCAGAAATTTCCAACTGTTCAGTTTGCTGCCACTTCTCGCATAGAGACATCAGCAGTGGTGGGGCATTTGCTATATTTAGGCCATCATCTTAGAATGCATATGAGGTTACAACGTTCCTTAATGAGGCACAATTCTGCAGGGACCAATTCTGTATCAGAGGGAAATTAATATGCACATTAAAATGTGTGAATAATCTTTACATGTAGTAATAACAATCCATAAGGTGCTAGACATAAGAAAACATGCATTTTAGTCCTGGATCAATAGAAAAAAAATGGAATGAAGACAGCTCACAAATTGGAGAAAATATTAAGTTAACTGAAAAATAAGCAAAATATAAGGATGTAAAGTGGTACATTAAAAAAAAAAAGTGCCCACAATGTTCAAAGGGTTAAGGACAAGATCTTACTATAAACCTACAAGAAAGGCCACTCTTCTAGATTTGGAAAGAGAGAAGGAAATAAGGCTCACATCAGAAACGCATATTGCTCCCAAATTACAAACTGCTGTTTTATGCTGAAGAATTCAGTCTGCAGTAATGGTCAGTAAAAATTACCAGTTTTATACCAAAAAAAAAACTTATTAAGATGAAGGAGAATCACAAGAGGGTGGGGGAAGAGTCACAAATAAACCTGTCCAAAAATAGAAATCCAGAGGGCTTCCTGCTCTTTAATAGGATACACACAATTGAGATGAAGAAAATTTATGGGTAAAAGAAGGTAAGTTATTTGAGCAAGCTAAGAATATTTTATGGTCATTCAATAAAGAGAAAAACCCACTACAGTCATTTACTATTGCTGGAGATTGTACAGGCCTGGTAAAGTAATTGAATCTGTCACCGGAAGATCACCATCTTATGTGATGTGGTTTGTACCAATAGGTAGGTGTAGCTATATAGCTAAGATGTAGCTACTTCAGGATTTAAGCTTCAAATGGATGATAATAAAAGCATTAAGACAATAAAGTTTTATTAGTGCAAACCCAAGAATATATATTTTAATGACTGCTGTGAAATATGTTGGAATAAGGCCAAAATAATAAAACAAAATTCTGGCCAATACAACAGGCATTTGGTTATTTGAGAAAAGTAACAGGCAGGCAGTTCACTGCTATCCTAATTCAATTCACACTCATAATTGTGAATGATTTATCACTGTGAAGCCAGCACAGTGTCAATTGCTTGGAATATAAAGGTGGGAAGTTTCTAAAATTGTTCCGAGTTTGCTACCAAAATATCACAACCAAACAAATCAACACGATCAATTCATAATGCAAAGCAAAAGACTGCAAGTGAAAGCAGGTCAGGAATGGCTTCTACGGAGGTTTGGAAGCCTCTTTGTGGTTAGGATAACCATGAAGCCAACCTGTGGTCCTTAAGAAACAGAAGTCTAGCTCTATTTCCTTTTAGCAGTTCTGGTGAAGGTTTCTTTGAACAATTTCTGTGGTATAAAGAAAAAAGCTTAACTGCTACAACCCTCCCTGCTTATTCTTTTCCTTTCCCCCTTACATGCAGACACAAGCATGAGCTGTATCTGCTGTCTTGCAACCAGAAGTAAAAGGCCAAGAAAACTGCAGAAATAGCTCTGACATCATCTCACTGCTAAAACAACACCATCACCACCTCCGGATGCCTTGTTAAGTAAACAAGTCTACCCTGATGCACTGAAGAGCACTGTGGTTGGTGCAGACAAATGCATTCCTAACAGGCACATTTTTTAAGAGTTTATCTCATGTTTTAATTCCTCAATCAGATGTTTACATTGCTCTCTTTTTGTTGATGAAACCCAGATTCCCTTGCCTTTTGTTCTGGTTTGGATGTGAGGTGTTCCCCAGAAGCTCACGTTGTGAGAAAATGCAAGAAAGTTCAGAGGAGAACTGATTGGGTTATGAGAGCTTTAACACAGCCAGTGAATTCCCTGGTGGGTTTAATTGAGTGGTAACTGAAAGCCAGTAGGGTGTGGCTGGAGGAGGTGGGTCATTGGGGGTATGGATTTGAGGTATATATTTTGTATCTGGTGAGTGGAGCTCTCTTTCTCTGTTTTCTGATTATCGTGTGAGTTGCTTCTCTCTGCCACACTCTTCTGCCATGTTGTTCTGCCTCACCTCCAGTCCCCAGGAATGGAGCCCCTGGTCTATGGATCTGAAACCATGAACCCCCCCAAATAAACTTTTCTTCCTGGTCAGGTCTTTTAGTCACTGCAGCAAAAAACTGAATAAAACACCTTATTTGAGATCCTTGGTCATCTGACATTGCCCTTCCTTACAGTCTCAGCAAACCTTGCTCCCAATATGACACTCTGCACCAGCCATGATGGCCTTTTCCCTCTTATTCCAGTTAGCATAGCAAATCTCTGCATCCCCGGCCCCTATAAACTCCTGTAACACTTGGGATGCTACATAAGGATGTACTTCCCTTTGTCCACCTGCTGTCCCCAACTCCAGGAGCTGTCTGAAGCCTTATTTTTCTGTGTTTCCCATGATAAGCAACCTATTGCTGCTTATTTCCACCATGGGAGAGAATAACAGAATCCCCAAGAGGAGCAGAGCTTAGCTAAATCCACTCCAACCCTGTCATTTGATTGGAGAGAGGAGACCCAAAAAGGTAAAGGGACTTGCTCAGGGTTACACATTAAAGTATTAATAGACCCAGAACTAGAACACCAGGCCTCTGGCTCCTAGATGAGCATATTTTCCACTATACCTCATTGTCTAAAAGAAAAGTGCCAATTAGAGTCACAAAAAGTAACAAAGCTGGTGATGACTATAATGGATGATTACGTCTTTTCAAAGGGTTGAAAAAGAGAGCTGAGTAGAGGCTCATGTGAAGGAGCTTCTTCAGTATATAATTAACTGCTGGCATCTTTGAATTGTTCCAATAATGAACTTGGCAGTGATCTGCAGAACAACTTTGCCCCCAGGGGCAAGAGAAGTAGTGGCAGTATCCTCAGAAAAACTGCTTCAAGGTGGGGGGCTTGGGCAGGCTCTGAGTCACTGGGGATGTTTTGCACTTATCCATTTATGATGATTTCACCTAAAGATGGTTCCTTGCTGCAGGCATTCATCAGTGCCAGCAAAGATACTTCACTGCCAGCCCTTAGGCCTGAGAGCTAAAAGGTGCACACAGAGCCCCAAGTGTGCCTCTCCTCTTCCTGCAGACCTCAGAGATGTGACCTGAGCTGCCTTGAGAAATAAAACCTGGGAGATGTGGGAAGCCTGCCATCCCCAGAACATGGCAGCCACTGAGAAGATGGAAATTGCTGATTCACAGACGTAAAATATTATATTTTTGAGCTTAGAAAGAACTCTAGGAATAAGGTATTCTGTGCTCTTTATTTAAAAAAATGAAAAACTGGGGGCAAAAGAGGGAACATGGCTGGCTTGTGCTCACACAGCCAGGGTACAGTGGGACAGTGAGGTGCTTATTCATCTGTGGCTTCTGGATGTGCACACTTAGGTTTTCACATCTCTGGGGCCTTGACTCTGTGCACCAGAATGTGGACTATCTTTCATAGCCCCTTGAAGTGGCATGACACTAATTCCTAACAAGAGGTGGGTCAAGCTGTATTTACCTTCCCCTGTCAATCATTCAATAATCAATGGGCACAGAGGCTTCACCTTCCTAAAACATCATCTAAACAGCAGCCATGCACATGTGAATGAGATATTTGGCAATGCTGGTGGCCCCTTTTTAAAAACACAAGACAGACAGACCAGGGACAGAATGAGCTACCCAGGATGTCATCTGACTTAATAATCCAATATGAGATTTCAAAACCCCGTTAAGTTTGTGGCATCAAGGAATGTGAGCGCTAAAAGAGAAGCAGAGATTAAAGGTCAGAGATATTAATGTCACTCCAGATACCTAAAAATAGTGACAGAACCAGTATTAATAGAGAATGAAAAAATTGAG